TGGAGGGAGAGTCCCCCTCCCTACAGGAAGCCACGACCATGTGTCATGGCAGGGAAAATGGCCGCGGATCCTGTTCATCACCCGATGCGGAGTTCGCAGATGGAAGCAAAATTTTGCGAACGGTGCTGTTTGTGACCCGAATTGCTCATGAACAGAAGTGTTTGTGACCCGAGGTACCACTGTACTTAACATTTTGCATATCCCTACTAGAGATTGCCCTGTGTTGTAAAACTTTCTAAACAACTTTGATTTTATAGTTTTACTTCTTCTAATGTAAACCAGTATCTTGTCATTTAGGAACAAGCATCTATGGAGATAGGTTTCCCGATGAAAACTTCAAGTTGAAGCACTATGGCATTGGCTGGGTCAGCATGGCTAATTCTGGTCCAAACACTAATGGCTCCCAGTTCTTCATTGCTGTAACAAAGCCTGGCTGGTTAGATGGAAAACATGTAGTATTTGGAAAAGTCATTGATGGAATGGTAGGTGAAATTTACAATGCTTTTATTCATTAGAAACAGTATGTAGCTTTCAGAATGTAACTTAGTTTTAAAAGTGTACCAGTTGTGTACTTTCACGCTGACATATAGAATCTACTGTATATGACTTTGATGGATATATAACCTGTTGTATCTTATAAATGGGAAAAAATGCTAATATTTGCTTTTAAAGCCCTGTAAATGATGTGCCTTGAATGCTTTAAGGGATCTTCTTCATATCAGCCTACCTCCACATTGGAAACATTTTTCAGTAAAAAGTTAATGATGCCTAGCTAAAGTATCTTCTTACTAATGGAACAAATCCTGTGTAAATCCCTACTGGTGAGAATTACCTTTGTTTTATTTTCAGCATCAAGCAAGAATTTCTTACCCTTCTTGCTTTTCAAAATGTAAGGAAAGGTTTTAGCTTTTGTTATTTGTCAGTGGGATTGTAGCTGGTACAGTATTTATATTCTTTTGATGATGCAGCAGTTTTCCAAAAGTAAATTTTGCAAAACAAAAAGAGGTTTTGCAAAATTTACTTTTTGGTCCAAGAACAGAAGAAACAGCCCCATCCCCAAATGGCTTGAATTGATATATTCTGAAACAGGATGTTCTGGGAAACACTAGGATGTTCCATCCTCTAGAACTGCTAAGTTTTGTACATCCTTCACATTTAGGTCAATTTATTGCATTTGCTGCAATAAAAGTGAAAATATTTAATATGCAGATCATTTAACACTGGATATCATGCCATTATTTAATTTTCATTTCTCTAAATGAAACTTCCTGAGTTATTTTATTTTGTTCTCCTTCTTCTTTGGTATACATAGATAGTGTAAAGAGTCTTTTTAGCCAGTGGCTAAAAAACAATTAATACAGCTGTACGAAATGCCCAATTTAATATTACTGTGAATAAATTATATTTTTAACAGGGTTTTATTAATTGTGACTGGGCTTGGTAATCTATTTTCTTCCAGCCAACTGAATGAACAGAAATGAATAGGAGTTCTAATGGAAAGCTCTGAAATTCTGCACATCCCCTTTTTAGAAATAAAATAGTGCCCGGGCTTTCCTCACAAATATTCCTACAGAAGACTTTCTCAACTCATGCTGAAAATATAAGTGTTATATCCCATGTCTCATATAATACATGATACACTTCTTGACTTTAGAAATGGTTGACCTGCACCCCAGAAAATGCACACAGCCCCTAAGCTCCTTCTTTGCATGCCCATATCACATTGCCAGATTTTAGTGTCATGATTTTTAGCTGTGAAAAGGCCAAAATAGGTATGTTAAGTCCTATAAAGACTAATACACTGTTTTATTCCTTAAGCCTTCCCCAAGCCCTGGATGAATGTGTGTGTGTGTGTTTGTGTGTGTGTAATATTATAATTAAAAGGCTAAAAATATTTGAGTCTGTCTCTCTGGCCCCTGGAAACATACTTTTTAAAAAGAAAAGCTTGATCCTGTCTGATGTGAACCAGGCTTTGATTTTTGCACAGAGATTCATTTGTGTGTGAGTACAAGCAAACAAGGTATTTCTTTTATAATGGTAAGATAAAATGGCCTGTAGATATAACATTTCCTGCAAAGAACTCCACTAAATATTTCCCTTTTCCAGTGCAATAACTTTGTTACCTTTATCTTAAATCAATGTCTGTACAAGACAGAAAGTAGTACCTGGAATGAATGTGAAGTGTACTTTTTTTTCTTCCTGGATATAAGTAAGCTGCAGAGATGGAGACCTTTTCTCAGATGGAGTTTCTTTGCTTCTAGAAGGCAAGCCCTACAATTACATCTGATCATTGCTGGGAGTTGATTACATCTGATCATCACAGAGTTGATTTTTTGACACTGAAAGGGCATTGTATATAAACAACTTTGAAATGAGGAATGCCTCTGTAAAGGAACAGTGTTTTTCTTTTTCTTTTCTGGCCCCTTTCCTTCTGGGTACTTTTGTTGTTGAAGTCACTAGGAAAGAGAAACAGACTGTGTCCATGGTGATGAGCACGTGGAGATGTAAAACCTCTAAAGTGAAGAGTCCCACAACATTTAGACACAGTACATGTCTTATCTGTTGCGTGTTTCATACCTAGTTTTTCCTTTTCATCAAAAGCTTCTCTCTCTTTTTAGTCAGTAGTACATGATATAGAACTTCAGGCAACAGATGAACATGACCGGCCTCTTCAGGACTGTGTGATCATTAACAGTGGAAAAATAGATGTAAAAGAGCCATTTGTGGTTGAAGTAGATGATTGGACAAGTTGACAGGAATAGGAGCAAATGAGCTGCAATCACCTTTCCTCTGGTTAACACTGTGTGAGGCTTCTATCAGAAAATACTTTTCAGAGACTGCACAACATGAACTTGCAAGTAACAGAAATACCTGGGTATTAAATGAGGAAATGTTAATGCTATGCTATTGCCCTTCTGAGGTAAAACATTTCATAGATATTGCTTTAAAGAGATTGACAGTGAGATGTCTTTATATACTACAAACATTTATAGCCCCTTCCTCTTTGTTTACTAGTATTCACCGTATGAATCTTTTTAATGTCTTTGCCTAGTAACCTTGAAATTTTAAAACTTTAAATGAAAACCCTTCTTATTCAACCAGCACTGCTACTGCATATATTGTGCAGATTTCCTAATTTATAAATCTGAAAATAGACAAGGAAGAATTACTATGTAATTGGACAAATTATACTGAATCCTTTCCTGACATAAGAAATACTTTACATTATCTTTTCCAATCCCTCTCTCTATACATAGATACCATTAAAAGATTTCACTTCCAACTAGACTTTCAAAATAAGTTTGAATTTGTCAAAATGCAAAATATGTCATTATTACAGTTAGATGCTACTTTTATACTTATCACTGAAAATCTTGATTTACTTACCTTTATGTACAAATATTAAACTGCTGATGAAAGATATCCTTTTTAAAAGTAATACTCTATTTTGTCATGTATAATTTTTGATTAATCCAGACCAATTAGTTTTAAAGGATGTAAATATATTTTCATTTTCTATACCCAACACAACACAGTAATAATATAAACCAAGACAAGAATATTATTTATTGTTATGGTTTATCTCCCATATTTCTGCCCATAGGACATTCATTACAGCTAACAATAAGAAGCAAAACATAAACACTCAGAATCTCATAAAAACTGTTAACATCACTATTAAACTAATTCAGAATGAAAAGACCTGGTCTAGACTCATTTCAAGACAATGGGAAAAAATGCAGCTGAATGAAATTGGGTGAATTGAAGCTTGTTCAGCACTGGAGAAAGTTCTCTTCTGGATGACAGACAAATGGCCTTCAGAAAGTGAAGGTATTCTCAAGAAGTCTCCTCCTGACAGGTTCACAGGATTTGGATCTGAGGCAGAAATGCTGCTGTGAAGAGGATATGAGTGTGCTCTCTGCACCCGCTTCTGCCTCCTTAAGCAATAATACCTACTGTTTGAGATGTTTTGACAGTAACACTGGCAGAGGAGATGGAAAATCCCCAGTGGCATTCAGGAAGTCATTTTAAACACCAGTTAAAGTTCATACAGGTGGGCAGCCTAAAGCTGGCCAGGGAATGATCTGTCCATGACAACTGAAATACAGGAAAACACCTCTGACTGCAACTCCACTTGAATAGGATAACCAAAATATGCTCTACTGTGCCAGATACCCACTGGCATAGGTTCATAATTGTTATGGTAGACGTGAACTCCTGAGTAACCTCAGTACAGACACTGAAATCTCCCATGTTAAGAAGCATTAGCATGTTATAACTCCATCCTCAATATCATCCAGCTACAGCACATGTACTCAGAACTGACAAAGTGGTGGGTAGACATGTGACCAGCAAGCTGGCATTTTTATAGACTTTCATTATTTCACTGTGATTTTGGTTTTATTTTGGATTCCACATGTTGAAAAACAATGTTCATTTAGACAGTTGATAGGGTGGACAAACCTTTGAGGATGAAGTCAACACCGACAGTTTTACATCATATGCTTGGGTGGAACTATATTTTCCCTGGGTTTGGTGATGGTTTCTTGTTTTTAAATGGTGTTATGCATATTTGAAGGGTTTCAACTACATTTTTCATGTGCTTTCATCTCAAAATGGTGGGAAACTGTTCAATTTTCCTCAGATAAAATTAGGGGAAGTTCCAGGAGCTGCAAAAAGGATATCCAGGTTGTGGGTTGCCTACCCCTAGACTAGATGGTTATTTTTATTAATTGTGTTCATTCTTATTTCTATTACAAAAGGTTAGAGGTTAATGAACTTGGGAAAATGACATTAAACTAGTGCAGAGTAATAAAAGGATTGCAGCCAAGATCCTGATATAAATTAAAGCTACAACTAAGCCCAATTTCAAGCATATACACATTTCAGTCTCTAAAATGATACTTATATGCTATGACATCAGAAATACTGATACAGTAAGCTTATATTGCATTTCCAGTTTTGGCAGTTATTTCTTAACATTTACATTTTTTAGTCACATGTGGTATTATATTTTGCATATCCGCTGCCAGCAGTGGATACAATGTTGAGACAAAAGGATTAGGGTAATCATTTATCACACACGCAAAAATCAAATACATGATGAAATTGGTTAGCATAATTTGGCATTTGACTGTCATGTTTTAAAATGTAAGTATTTAGAGTTTAGTACACAGATTGAACAACGTAGTGTTTTTTTTTTCCATTCATAATCTTGAAAAGCAGCCATTTTTAGTGATACAATTAAATCCAAAAGCTCCATTTTTGAACTTGGGTGTCTTGCTTCACTGTTTTAAGTTTTACTTAAAAAAAAAAAAAAGTCTCCAAAACCCTACATTGAGAGAAAGAATTTGAATTTACTCTAATTATTTTCCATCCAAACCCATTTTCTACCTGGGCTGTAGGTGAGGATAAAACAATCCATGGAGAATGCCTTCAATAACTACATTTGGAAAGTCATCTGGGGAAAAAAAGAGAGAAGAAAAACTGCTTTCTTACATATGTCAATACAATATAAATGTTTTTGTAGAACCTAACAAGGCGAAGCCTGGTATAATTTAGGATATTGCATCACCACCATGTTTATCTGTGCTCAGAATTTGTTATTAGTAATGCTGTTTCAGCAGGAAACCCACTTTAGTGTAGCACTGGGCATTGCTTGAATGCACTGCCAGATTTGTAGCTTATTGATTTAAAGGGATGTTCTAATACTTAATGCTGCTAGGCTCCAGCTCTTTATCTGAATCTTTTCTCACAAGGAAGATGGATTACACTGGCAATTCAATTTCTAACAAAATCTCAATACACTTGAAGGAATTCCAAGATTTCTACTGGGAATACTCCACAGCAGTTTTTCCACTGTAGTTTACAGCACGGTTTTGTCCAAGTTGACTGGAAGAGGCTTATGCTGTCGCACAAACGTCTCTAGTGCGGGAAAACTACAAAGCTCCTAGTCAAAGTAATGGGATAGACGTCTTTTAAAAAGCCCTATCTAGAGAGAAGTTATTCCTAAACCTAAGCAAAGTTAATCACTACAACAGATACAAGAATTAAAGCAAAATACTAACAAGCAGGAAAGTTCCAGGAAAAAATAAATGTGACTAAAACATGTTTATTTTATCCTTAGTGCCTGCAGATAATATTTTTCAAGTTGCATTAATATTTAATTTTTATGGCTAGAATGAAAAAATACTTCTATATTTAATATTACCCCATTATTCAGTTGTTCCGTGTACTCTGTGTGTTTAAATCAATGACATGAGTTTTGAATTTAGGAAGGTCTTGCCTGAAATTGAAAAACTACCACTACCATTCCATTCACAAATAAGTTAGAGAAGGGTAGGTAGATTCTTAAATCTTTTAGCTCTAGTAAAGTTGTTCAGATTTTAATCTCCTCTCTCCTTTTCTGAGCCTAGCATCTCACACAGTGCAATTCCATAAATGTGTACGTAAAAATCCCATTCAGTTCAATACTTACAGGCAAGTACTGCTCCTATTAAAACAATTCCAAGGTAAACAGAATTACTAAAATGGTAGTATTAAAAATAATATCTTATTCTTTCACTTTTGCACTGTAAATTAAAAGTATAAACATGGATCTTAGAAGGTGAAGGAAGCATTTGGCTTTACTGTACCCAAACTCTTATACTGTGCTAGAGCTTTATGTTCTGTTTGAGTGTTTTCTTAACTTTACAAAAAGCAATCAGTACAGCATGATTTGGACAGGGGCAGTGACTTTACATGGGCCAGGGAATCAGTGATTCCATGTTAACAGTCTCAATTCAAACTTCTACTCCTTTTCCAAAGAATGGGAAAATGTAATGGGCTTCACCTTCCACAGTTAACAGCAACTGGCAAGATTAATTTAACCAAGGAAACTGCTACAAGAGTGAATAATTAGATTCCCTTTCTTTTGCACTACACCCCTAGCCCAGATCAATCACAGTGGCAAGTGTGTTTTATACCTTAAAGAGGAAGGGAGTTTAAGAGTTTTTACACTGAGTTAGTTTGAACATAAACTGCACTGGGGACATCTAGTTTTGCCCACAGTCTGATTCATGAAAACCGGATATCCGAAATATTTTGGGGAAAAAAAACTAGCAAAGGTTATGTGAAATATTGTAAGCTATAATAAAAAGATAACACATATACAAACACAAAAATGCAAGAATATTTCTCTTCCAACTATTCGTTTTTATAATTCTTATCAAAATATTATCAGTGCTACAAGATCCATTCCATCTGAAATTCGTAGTGTTTCCAAGAAGTTTGCTATTGATGTAGGAGAGCCAAGATAAGAATGTCTTTGTAATTTTTATTTGTAGGAGGGCTGTCTGCAAAGAAAAAAAATCATTTCTCAGCGATTACTTTAAATAGCATTAAAATAACTCCTGATGTATTGCCAAATTATTAGAATTTGAGCTCAATGTATATTTATAACAATGTGGTTTTTGTGGTATAGGGTCAGATCAGTAAAGAGCTGTTAATAGATGACAGGTTTGATTACCATTGGCTGCAGGCAAGACATATGGATCCCTTAGGAACAGCAACACTGGCTGGTGGGACAGTTTGCTGGAAAGGTCAAGAACAAGAATGTCAGCATCAAGGGACACTAAACTGAATACACTACAAACTAGCTTTGATAAAGTAAAGCAGTATAACTGGTTATGGATACTGCTTGTTTATATAAACCAGTTTTATGGGAAAGGAAAAAAAATCTATCATCAAGGAATAATGCTTACATGTAAAAGGTCACACATAATATGAGGAATAGGTATATTTATTCAGAAGCAAATCCAGCTGACTCTAGTGTGGCTTAATCCCTCACAAGAAGACCAGTGATCATGGCACTAAAACTGATAGAGTTGCTATACAGCTTGCCTGGAAATAATCTCAGGAAAAAGCAAGTAGTTCAAGATTGCAATTGTCAGGAAGTTGCAATGCTTTTTTTCCTCAAGACTTCAACATTAATTTATTTCAGCTGCTAGACCTCAGTGTCTATTTAGGATACTTAAAGATAGTATCATAATTTTTCCCAAGCTGTTACACAAAATATGTAAATAAAGAAGGGAAACCCATATCACCATATATATCTATGGGCAGGGAAATGGTACCACAACCAAATTTAACCATAGTTAAATTTAATCTACAGGCATCAAAACCAGAATTGCTATGACAGCAGACAGTCTATAGAAAAGTCTAGGTTTTTCTGGTTCAGAAATGCATAATGAGGAAATATGGACAAAGGAAATCTAAACGTAATGGAAAACTGTTAATTCACGTAAGATAAAAACACTGACAAATAAGAGCTGATATCAACACATTGAGGTTTGCAAGATATAAAAATCTTTGAGTTTCCTCTGAAAAATTATGAGGATGAGTACGTTTCTTAACCATGCAACATTAAATGTCTGATTAACTTCAATATAAGCAGTTTAAAATCCTTTTCCATTCAAAGGAATCATTCAAAACAGTGGTTCTTAAAATGTTGCCTAGTAATTTTGAAATTTTGAAACTTTGAACGAAAACCCTTCTTATTTAGTCAGCACTTCTATAGCACATATTGTGCAGATCTTCTAATTTATAAATCTGAAAATAGACAAGGAAGGTATGCAACAGTCATATCTGTTGCAATGCATACCAAAACATTTACAATTTGGCCAGAATGCTAAGAGTAAACCTGGCTTTTAGAACATTCTTAATTATTTCACATTATGTAATACTTATAAAAACATTTCTTAGAATATATAATGCTGAACTTACCTTGATTCTTCAGATTCTGTTTCTTCAAAAGAACTGAAATGTAATTTGTAAAAAGTGTTATAATGTATACATTTAAAATATATATTCCACAACAGGAACAGCAAAACTCTGCTCAGAATCTTTAAAACAGATTTTAGCACAGCCTTATGCCTTCCTATAACCAGCTGTCCAGGGGTGTCTACAATGAACATTAAAACAAGGGTGGGGCCTAATTGCACATTGTGGCCACCATTTGTACTTTTCTTATCGTCTCCTTGCAGACATCCCTGCAGCTGTCCAAACTATTTTAAAATTATTCTAATGTAAATGTTTTTAAAATAACTTCTATTTTATTTTAATGCCAACTGCTTTTCCATTTTTTATGGTTATGAATTTTTAACTCTGGACACCCAATTTCTTCAGTGTCATTTCATCACCATTTCAGAAATCATGTGCATTCAAATGTACATAAGGATTTTTAGTATTAATAATGGTATTTTTAAAAAGAATACAGACATACATATGCTCCTTCCATTGAAATAAATGAGGGCTTTCTAAGGAAGGGAGCTGTGTCATCAGCAAAGATTCTAAGCCTGGAGCAACTATTGAATCAGGCCAATGCAAAACTAAATACTTAGATGCGAAGTCAAATTCTCTGTCTCAGCATGTTAATCTCAAAACACCGTAATTAAGAATTCCCATGTTTTATATGCAAAACAGAACCGCTGGAGTTTTTTCTGAACATTTTTAAGTGCAACCATGGTAGGGGAATATTATTCTGACTATTTTCAGGCAAGAGTGAATGAAATTATTTTAGCTCTAGGGAACTTGGCCTTTGGACAAGTTTGTTGTGCTTTGTTGTATTTTGAACCATATGGATAAAATTCTTACCCACAACTTTCTGCTTTTGGGAGAGAAGGAAAATGACGAACGTTGAGGAAATCAAGAAACATCTTGGGAAGCTCTTCATTTTCTAAAACAATACTCTGTAATAAAAAAAAATGAATCAAAATGATGCACTTGGTAACATGATCATATCCAGAAGTCATTTTGCTAGTGGAATCTGAAAGACATTCATCCATCCCAGCAGCCAGGGAAAAGTCTTCTGATTATCTGAGAGTCTAGCTGGCTTCATTAATGAAAGATTTAGTGTGTGTTAACAAGGACAAGGAAGTGTTTGATTTGAAAGATCAGCATACAACACAGAGATTCATCTCTAATGCCCTGATCAAAGTTCTGTAATGCAAGACCAACAGTTCTATGTGACAATCAATGCAAAGTTTAGTGGAGATTAAATCTGTATATTTCATAAGAACTAACTGATGATAATAATTTTATAAGGAAGTAATTAGCAATATATTTAAAGCTGTCTATAGTTGTTGAATCCTCATTTATCAAAGAGTTCTATTTTAAGATCATAACAGAATTCTAATCTGGGAATGCTACAGTCAATAGCTAGCATTTCCTACTACTATTAACAAGGACAGAATGAGAAGTATATCACACCACAAAGAATACAGAATTTGATAGACAGTCTTGGATTAAATCCTGACAGACCAAGATGTCAATTTTCATCTTAATTTAATTCAAAGGCTGTGAATAAACAATAGAAAAAAGGGCCCTGGCATAAAGAAGAGATTGAAAAGAAAGCAGAAACTAAGGTTTTCATTAAAAGGATGAACTTTATATGTTGGTCTGATTTCCACCAAATTTATACATTTACTAGATTTATATCCTCCCTTCTCTTTAGGAGCTCAAAGTGGCAGTTAGAGTACTCTTTTCTCCCATTTTTTCCCATAATAATCCCGTGAAGTAGATTGGCCTGAGAGAAAATAACTGGCCCAAAGTCATTCAGTGACTTTCTGTGGCTGAAGAGGAACTTGATACTGGATTTCTCTGATTCTAGTCCAATATTTTAACCATGACGCCAAGCTTGGCTCTCTCTCCAGTCAGTGCAGAACATCTTTCCCAAGAAGAAACTATTACAAAAAAGTTTTTTAAATAAAAAACTGAAAAATGAAATTTTACAAAATGAAAAGTTAACTCCAAGATAGCAGAAAGGAAATCATCTAGTGAAAAACGTTAATCCCGAAGTATATCATCTTGATTCTGGATGAGAAAAACCAAGCCAAGAGCAATAGTAGAAGGCAGTCTTGACCAATATAGTTAAATTATACTGCTGCTTGTAGGATAAGAGCCTTGTAGGGCTGGCTGAAAAATTCATTTGTTCATACTGCCTACAGTAAGTCATACTCTATTATAACCATTCGTAACAGCATTGTTTGGTTGGGTGCTACAAAAAAGAAAAAGCAAGTGAAAGAAAGTATGCTCAGGAGAGAATATACATTTCAAATTATTTTAAAAAGTAAAAAAAAAGTTGAAATCAAAATGTTTTGCTATGTAATGTCTTAGCTCTTGTTTAGATCTAAAATCAAGCTCAATTTGTTTAGGAAGATCAGATAATTATATCAAAATGATAAAGGAAAGTGAATGGGTATATTTTTCCCCAACCTGAAGCTGTCCAGATCTGTTGAGTCTACAGTTTCCTGCCAGTTGGCCAAACTGGTGCTAATCTGACTTATTAGGTTTGCCAGAAACAAATGAAATTAAAGAAGGCAGCAGGAATTTTTGAAATAGATCTCCATGATGAGCTCCCAGGCCCAGTCCCATCCTTAAAATACACACAAAACCCCCCTCCCCAAATGTTGACTATGTTTCTTCTGGTCATGTCAACATATCATTGGATGGTTTCTTGCAGGCCACCAGAGTGTTGGTAGGCTGAGCTTAGCTTGTGTTAGAAGCTGACCACCTCTGACCTAAACTCTTACTTTCTCTTAATTAGAAAGCCTTTCAGTTCACCTTTACATGAGAATTCTACATTAAATGTCTTTTTCATTTGCATTTTGTAAAATCAGCACTCTACTGCTACAAAATTCATCTTGTTTTGCATTCTAGTTATTCATAGGAGGGGTGATGGGGGATGCAAGTTAAAGGATATGTGAACTGAATAACAATACAGCCTGTTAACCCAAGCAAAACAAAGTCCTAATAATCACTAATCTACGTATTGAGGGAAAATATTGAAAAATCTCTTCAGGCAATTAAATACACTTTTAATGCAGTGGAGAAAAGCTTTTCTCTGTAGGTCATTTAGATCTATTGGAATGTATCTGGGCTACAGAGTCACTATTAATACCTTTTTATTGGCTGACTTCAGAGCTAATCCAAAACTGTACTTCAGCATTCCATGAATGGACATCAAGCTTGTGAACTTCCCTTCTTCTCTTGCAGAGGTGGCTTAAAAGCATAAGCTTTGGAATTTATTTTTTAAAAACTACGGTGTTATAGCCAAGCCTGGATCTATTGTTAAATTTTATGGTAAGTCAGGGCAGGGAAAGTCAACTCTTTTTGGCCTGAGGGAAGTCTTTGGCCTTGGTACACTAAGGACCACACCAAGAAGAACCAGGAAAAAGAATTAGGCAAGGGTAGGAAGAAAATTAAATTAATAAAATGTAATTCAACTACATAAATAAAATGAACATTATTACTACCCATATATATAATAATGACTTCTTTCTTTTATATTAAAAGTTGTGATTTGGCAGCAGCCTTAGAAGGAACTGTGGAAGCTGCAGTGAAACCTTTGAGGAGCTGTAGGCTTTGGAGGTTTGGAATGTTTGATTTAACCGAACAAGCCAGGGTCTAAAATTATGGATTTGATATTTGCTTGTCTCTGTACCCAGACATGGGGACTCGAACACTCCAAATGTTCTTAGACTTCAGTTCCCAGCAGACACTGACAGAATGGCTAATGCATAAGTATTATGGCAACTGGAGTTTGACATATACACATATACTGCACATCAATGGTATTTTAGAAATAACTTATCTGGGCCCTGCCATCTACTCTAATGTTTTATTTTCAAAACATACCCCTGTTAAAGCAACTCACATATTTATATCAATGCTTTAGGCTGTTTTCTTTTTTTGCGTGAGGCAATCCTTTCCATTCCATTCCTTAAACCTTAGGAACAGCTAAATATCACTTTGTCAAATTCTTTGCCATATTGTATACTATTTTGAAAATTAGCCCATCAGAAGTGGCAAGATATAAATACATTAGACCTACATTGTCCAAAATATCTCCACATCAAAACTTGTTTTCATAATCAGATAATGAATAAGAATTTTTCATTCTAAGGTATGAACCCCCCCCCCCACTAATTGATGACTCATCAGTAGCAGTAGCAATGAGAGCTGTTTGAGAGCTGCAGAGAAAAGCAGGGGGAATCCTTCGTCCAGTTGTTAGTGAGACAGAATAAAACACTATCTAGCCTAGATGATGAATAGCAGCTCACTGAGGTTTTCCTGAATGATCTGAAGGAATACTGCTGTAAATCACACTTTTTAAAACAAAATGTGATGCTACTTGAAGAAATAATCTTTAGAGAAGGGAAAAGTAATAATAGAATTATAACATTTGGGGATAAAATCTGGCAGAACAGTGGGGATGAATTTGGTAGGGTACTATAGATAATAAACAAACGAACAAAAAAAAAAAAAAAGCTATACTTTCCAAAATTTCTATTTCTAAAATTTCAGCTATTTCAAACAAAGCTTTGGGAGGGGTGAGAGAAGCTTTGGGAGAGGTGATAGGAGAGGGAGGGGAGATGGAATTTCAAATTCTATCATGGAAACATTCCTTTAGAAAGGGTCTGGTTCTGGTAAGTCTGGATCCAACTAAATAGAGACACATAAAAATGAAAAGAGGTGATTACATAAACTTCTACAAAGAAATCAAATTATAATTGTTTATGTGATGTTTTCATTACTCCTTTTATATTAATTATTATGTTTAATTAACTACACTGAAGGATAGAATTTAGAAATTTTTACTAAAAATGATACTCCACAAAGACAGGATATTATATAACAAACCCATAATATCCCAATTTTTCTATCTTCTTAGGTTCATAAAAACATGCTCCCAGAGGATTTGTTGGTCAGCTGAACATGTTTCCTAGTGACATTCTGAATTCTTAATTGTCAGTTATCCTTTCTCCTTCAGTAAGTGAAATATAGTCACAAAATTGCAAAGGGACTTGTTCTGCCTTAACCTTCGCTAGATACCATCATGCACTAGAAAACAGTGCTAAAATATCATAGGATAATGCTCTCCAGGATGGGAGACATATAAACAGCATAATGATTTCCCATGAGTTTCCTTTTTTTAAAAAAAAAAAATGTCACTAAAGCTAGCATAAATGGTGACACATCTTCACAGAGGACACCATGAAATCGAACTCTGGCATTCTAGTTAGGTCCAAGCCTACTCATCAGCCAATTATAACAGTAACTGAACAGCTTGCTGAGAACTTGGACGAGACCACTGTGCTAACCTTCTGAGAACGCACCAGAGAACTGCATTGTTTTCATAAATTGATTTTCTTTTTAACGCATAAAACAGCTCTAAAAATTCATGCCACCCTCCTCCAATCAGCTGTCTTATTTCCTCAAGATCTACAGCTATCTTTTGGCCAGAACAGCCAGTGCGGGATACATTAAGAAGCTTTGTTTTTGAAGGCTTCAATCGTTATTGCAATCTTTTAGTCTGAAATGCCCTATTGTTAGGGTGAAAAAGTTCATGACAGTTTTTCCTGTCTTCACAAGGAAAGATGCTTCACAATATCTAATTCAGTGGTGCAGCTAAAATGGGGGAGAAAAAAAAATCAATACATTCTAGCTACAGTAAGAAGGCTGGAGCATCAGCCTCCACTGGGACTTCAACCTGCAGTCTTTATAGAGCACTTTGTAGTATATATTCTTGTTTGCCTTGTCTCCGGCAGCCGCTTAAAGGGCTCTAACAATGATAAAAGAAAAAGTTAGCAAAGGAATATTACCCACTGAAAATCAAGAAGCAGTCTGAAATGTTTTTCCCCTAACCCAAGAATGAACCTTCTGCTGTGTGTGAAGTTTTTTTTTTAGA